TTCATTGGTCAAGAGCAACTTTTAAAAAGATCCCAAGGATATAAAATGCAATTTAAGAGACAACCACAAATGGAACTTTTAAATTTACTGATTTATTATCAAATCTGTAATAATTCACAAACAGGGATGCATAACAATTTCGTAGTTCTTGGAGGGTACAAAATGCTTGGATATTGTACATGGAAAGAGAACCTGAAGAAAACTAAACACATAAACTAGATGCCAAATCTGTCCCCGATTTTGTAATCTTTGCTCAATCCCTTAATTTAATTTTGATACATTCCTACATTATTTCCCATCCGAACAAAAAAAAGGACTTTTTATTATTTTCAAGCACTTTCAGCAATTATTCTTCTTTTGAGGGGCTTTTCTTTGAAAGCGCCATGAAATCTCAAATTAAATTCCAGGGCTTTGCAAGGACTTCAAGGAGTAGCACGAACCCGGGTACCGCCATATGGAAGTAGATATCTAAAGTTGATCTCTTATTTCGCTACCAATCTCATGTACTAAATTATGTGGGGTCCACGATGCACTTGATGGGATGTGTGGTGGTACTCGGTATGCGAGCTAAATCAGGAGCGGGAATCGGGAATTTTATTAGCAAGCGGCATTGAGTTTCCTTCACATTATCTAGTTTACTGAAATAATGGCTGCAGCAGATTGAATAGCTGCGAGAGAAGATGCCTTTTCCAACTCTTATAAAAATACCGTAAATGATCGATTCAGCGTCCGGCGCTTATTTCAACTATGGATAAAACACTGGAAGGAATATTGAGAGAATTACGTGAGGCGCGTACTAGGTATGCACTCTTTGGTATAAAATATGTACACCTCGAACTGTTTCAACCCGGTTTCAGCAGTTTCCATTCATTAAAACTTTCAAACTCACGAGTAGGTCGAGGTGTTATTTCTCAAGGGATGGTTTTGATATCTCTTTATAAATTTCTCAAGGGATGGTTTTGATATCTCCTTATGTCAAGCGCCGTAGCAGAGGTGGGACGTTAATTTCTTATTACCCAAATTAGCGTCGCGGCGCTTATTCGAGAGCGACGCTTATTCAAGTACGGGGCTTAATCGATCATTAAATGGTACTCTACTTGTTGCTAACTTATGCAAACCCCACCCCAACCTTTATTAAAAGATTCAAGGGACACTTGAATCATTGAGGGCACAATTCCTTTGTCCTGAGGGTGTATATAGATGAAACTATATGAAAATGGAGGTGTTATGTGACACTTAAGGTAACAATAGGTTGGTATCGGATAAAAAGAAAGGTTCATGAACATTGTATTGTTTCAATGAGCTTAATAGTTTAATCAATGAGATTACATGTAACAAAGCACCTGCACTTGTATTGTCTAACACCCTTAGTAACTTCAGATTTGTTGCCCCACTATTTTTTATTCACTGTGTGTCCGTGAATTTTAACATAGACTGGGAACGAGTGCCTTGATATTTTGAGCGGGAAATCTGGGTACTAGTGTAAATTTTTCAAAATGGCGAATGCATCAAGACTCATGGCAATGAAACTTATCGTAATTTTTTCTCATTTCTGCCGAGTTCGTCGATGAACTTTATTTTTCTAAGATTTTATCCATGTCTCCTACAAATTTAACATTCACGATGGACTGAAGTGTGGCTCTTGCTGGACACAATATGAAGCACAACACGGTCGGACATCATGTCCTCTCATTCCTCTCTTCATTTCGTCCTGTGACAACCATTACTGCAAGATGTCTTCATGGCCGGACATTTTTCAAAAGGAGATCACTTTATGATGTCCTGGATATGCCGCACTCCGCCACACAGACTGAAATTATAGCCGCGTATTATGAATTGTCGCTGAAATATCATCCAGACGTGAACAAGAGCAAAGAAGCCCAGCATATGTTCGGTAGTTTCGAAAACGAAGCACTCGAAAACGAAGACCGAAGCACGAAGCACCCAAAACTCGAAAACGAAGCACCCAAATCTCGAAAACGAAGCACCCAAAACTCGAAAACGAAGACCCCTAGATCGAAAACGAAGCACCCTATCTCGAAAACGAAGCATACGGTACACATACATGTTTATGTAGACTTCAAAACTGTCCGTCAGCAGATTTTGGCGCATTCAAGTACGCGTGAGCAGTAACGCAAAAGGTCTGAAACGAGGCTGAAAACGGAGTGTGAGGCTCGTGCGTATTACTCTTACGCCACGCTTTACCGACTTCTTTACTGATTTTTAGAGAAAAAACCGATTGTTTTGCAGTCTAACATATTGGATATCTATGACACTGCGTGATCAGATCAGATCAGATACAGGCAGAATTTGTTCTAGGATAACAGCCTGGGACCAGGCTCTATGGTGGGGAACAGGAGAATTCGTTATCGTGCTTGATTCCTGCTGTATTAGCATTGGTCTCATGTTTATAAAGGACAGACCGGTTTTCGAGTTTTGGGTACTTCGTTTTCGAGATTTAGGGTGCTTCGTTTTCGAAATTTGGGAGATAGGGCGCTTCGTTTTCGAGATAGGGTGCTTCGTTTTCGATCTAGGGGTCTTCGTTTTCGAGTTTTGGGTGCTTCGTTTTCGAGATTTGGGTGCTTCGTTTTCGAGTTTTGGGTGCTTCATGCTTCGGTCTTCGTTTTCGAGTGCTTCGTTTTCGGAACTACCGCATATGTTCACAGGTTTGTTAGCACACAAAATTTGTTTGTAGTCGATAGATAAAGGCGCAGGCAAGCTAATGAGGTTCACGTGGTAGGAGCTCTCTGTAGCATGACAATCCTTGAGTCTTTTGAACCATTACAGTATTAATATCTGCACCCCTCCCTCTCTCGGTGGTGGACAAAACACTGACCCCCAGTCCATGGACTACCCATATCGATTACCCTAAAATCGACTACCCCACTGAAGTCTAGTGATTTAAGGTTAGGAAACTGAGCGAGTCAGGTTCCATTTGGAAAACCGACCTGAAGCTTGATTCACTCAGTTTCCTAACCCAAATTACTAATCTTCAGTGGTGTAGTCCATTTTCGATTAGTCCAGATGGGTAGTCCGTGGGGTAGTTCATGGACTGGGGTCAGTGTTTTGCTCACCACCCTCTCTCCCAGTGATGTATAGAGAAATCCTAGGGTAGAGCAGGATGGTTAACGAGTCATTCCTGAAGTAGTAGCTATTTCAATACCTTTGGTCAATAGAAACATCCCCCTTTCTCTGAATGAGGGACTGTGTTCTGTTGGGACTTTGACCCTTTTATCTCCTACAAGGGGAAAAAATCTAAGAGGGTTTAATTTACAGGTGTGCAGGTGTCAGACCAGGGTTCTTCTTGACGTTCCTGCACTTTTAGTTAGAAAGCATTGTTAACCCTTTCAGCCCCATAACCACTTAATTTCCATCACTTTTCTCAATACATTTTTTTGATGGATTCATTTAGAGAATTTGATAATAGATAAAAGCAGTTGGTGATCATGGAATTTTGATGTATTGATGTTGTTGGGTGAAATTTGATGTTGGTCACTCTTAAGACTTGATGATCTAGGAGGGTGTTATCCACCTCGGCCTTGGGCCTCGTTGGATAACGCCCTCCTCCATCTACTTAATTCTTCTAATCCTACTCAGCCTCATTTATTAATTGCTTTATTATTCATTCAAAATAATTCCTAGTTTAAAAACGTAGCTAAAACATGCTTACCTGCATCGATGTTAAGTTCATCAAAACAACTTAACCTCGTCCCTAGGTCTTCTCGGTAACGGTGCCTTAACCTGTAGCAGGCTGCATTTTTGACGTCATTTCCTCGTTAAACACAAAATTCTTCCAAGTTTGGTCATCAGTTACTGGTTATGGTGAATTATGTGTGTGCTTTTTTGGGGGAATATTTTGAATGAACATTAATATTTATTATTATTTTATTATTTTTAGTGCACCCTTTCTGTTAAAATAATCATAAGGAAACATGTCTTAATTGGTAAGCTCTATTTGAGGTTAAAATTGCAGGACAAGGAAAACTTAACTGCTGATTGTTTCATGCATTTTGTTTGGGCATCATTAAAGGTATGATATTTGGGTGGTTCTACATAACATTAGTTTCTGATGAGCTTTTTTGTTTATATAATATATATATTATATATTTTTTAGAACTGACTCACTCAGGATTTTCTGCCTTGGTCCCACAACAAAAAAGTTATCTTTTTGGCATAAATCTTTTATTTGCCATTTGCACATCTCACAAAATACACTGTGTTTGCCCCCCGAACTTTTGCATTACTTCGGTTTTTTATTCCTCCTGAATATTTGAGTGGTCCAAAGGGAAATTGAAGACAATACTTATGCAAAATTTTTTGGGGGGCAAACAAGGTGTATTATGGGAGGTATGCACACGATAAATTGACGACGCTGGTTTGATCAAGATGGCTGGATAATGGCCTTGTTCTTTTTTGTGTTCTTACTGACGTTGACTTTTTTTCGGTCCACAAAAATGGAAATAAAAAGAACTTTGGCCAATATCCAGCCATCCTGACCTCATGATTGGTCTGTAAGGCCCAGCTGAAACATTGAAATTTTTATGTCCTGAACTTAATACCTATAATTATTCAGGTCAACCATTCATGTTCGACAGTTGATTCAGATGTCCTATGAAGTACAATGGTGTACATGTACATTGCTTAGCATGGAAAATATATTGTAGTGATAATGCATTAGGTTTGGCACATAACAAGTTTGACGTTTGAAACCAAGTCGCTGCACAATCAAAATTCTCATGTGTACCACTCTTTATGCGTTGAATTATATAGGTTGGACTTATAATTGATTCAAACATCGATCTCCTCATGTTGTTTAATTGAAGGAATCAGGTTCAGTACATGAAAAGTTCAACCTTTGAACTGGGCCTAAAATTACGCATATATGATAATATGTAAAAGAAAATCTCTGTAAGAAGAGTATTCAACGGGTTGTTTTTGTTTTCTCTTTTTCACACTAGAGTGGAATATTTGTCAGCACCATTGCAACTCTTAGCACTGTAATGGGTGTCCCAGTAAGACTGACCAATGTATCTGTTCCTAACGGTGGTCTCCAGTCACATGACATGAGAGTGCTTCAGCTTCTTCGCATGATCTGCAATGGAACACTGGCTGCAAACACAGGACTGTCCACCGTGACATACATCCCTGGAGAGTTGTTGACTGGGCACTTCTCAGCTGAAGCTGGGAGATTAGGGTATGTTGCAATATCCACATACAAATTCTTGCGTCTGATTCCATACATTTTCTTACAGAACTAGTTGAGAAAATTTGTTTAATGATCACTGAATTTTTCCTTTTAACTCTCATAACTTTCTTGCTTGATATGTATTGGTATGGTTAGGAGAAAATTGATATTGGTCATTATACATGTAAAAAGAAAGTAGCAGCTGCAATGACATGTTTAAACTCAGGTGTTACAGACACGGAGGGAAAGGGGTACAGTGTCCGAAAAGCAGATTACTCTGTGAATTGAAAATGAATTTTGCAGGTCATTCTTTCTCGGCAAGGATTTGCCAAATATTTTTACTGATTAATTGAACTGACAATAATTACATTGTATTACCAATTACATCCCTCGAAACTAAAAATTTAAAAATGTAGTCCTGACTAGCACAGCTACAAAATCTGCCAGCCTGAGGCTACAGTGCATATGTGCGCATGTATTCCACTAACCTCATTTTGTGGCGAGGCCTTACACATCTCTTCACATTTTTTACACCGCCAGTGTAAGACGAAATTGAAATGGACAGACGGCCAAAACAGCGCAATCTGTTCGAAACATTTTAATCAGAGACATTTCTTGCAATGGCGTGTGTTCTGTCGAGTCCTTCTTGTTTTAATGAAAAATGCGCATTCAGCAAATCAACTTACGTGATCGTCGTCGCCTCGCGTGACATCCAAGTTTATGGCGACTACTGACGATATCGATGATTTGTTTGTTGTTTGGCTTTCTGTGACAAAGAGGGGGATCTTTAATGTTTAGTTACCAGCGTTAATATACATAACGCTTCACATGGGCCCATCATAGTCAAGTCTTACTGGTCGGCGGACTCTAACGTATTTTCCGCAAAGTTTGAGTGAGGATAATAACGATCCAGGTCACGAACATTTCTGTGCACAGATTAAAACAATCAACAACGATGGCGTCTGATTCAGTAAAGAAAGCTAGCGTGAGAGAAGAGCGGTTGCTCTTTATGCGAGGTGTTGTAGCAGGCAGCGTGTTTTTGTTGCTGGTAGCTCTTCTAGCAGTCTACAGTCCTATACCAAGACCTCATCTGCCAAGTTTGGAAGCCTCTAATTAGTTTTCACGCTCCAGTGGCAAGCTGTTTCTCCTTTTAATCTGATTGCAGGTAAGGATGTTTAACTTTTCTGAGTGCACGTTGTTTCGTTGTTTCGTTGTTTCTTTAATTTCACGAGTGAATCAACTTCAGTACATGTACAGGTGTATATACCAAGCGTCCTCAACATCGTTTCGTTGCGTCCATATTGCTGGACTCCTTGCCATGTCGTTGCAGTCCTTTTACTATTTCCCCGTTGTCCACCCTATATGTTTTGAACTAAAACTTGTTCTGGTGAAACTCTGTTGTCACAGACTCATAGATTGCGTGACACATGTTGGATTCTGTCATACGTGCACACTTTTGTCCGTTCCCCGTGTTTTATAGTAGATTTACGTAGTATTTTAGTTTGTTTTATGTTAGTGGTGCTGTAGTCATAACCGCCAACACAGTGATTTCGAGTTTTTAATGTTAATGATTATGATACAGTCAGTGATAGGACGAACTGAGTGTAGCATTTGTTGCTGAAGCATTCAATTTAGCTGTCAATTCGAAGTCATTCTCAAAAGTATCTTCTTCAATGCTCTTTATGATGATGTACTGTAGCTTACAATTACAGTGTACAACTGTATGTGTAATGCATGTTACCGCTGTGACAGAAGGAGAAATTAAGCAAGACGTTGTTTAATTCAATGCACATGTAACACCCGCTAAGACTTCTTTGAATCTGCCTGCAGGTCTGGTGTGGGTAGAGGCAACCCGAGGACTTACAACAGCAATTAATCCTCTGGACAAAGACGCAGAGAAACAGAATCTCAGTGGGGTAGCTCCTCGTTACGCATCCAACACACTAGAGCAGTATCTACTGAGTTCTCATCTGTCATCTGAAAACATGCATGCTATTCCAGTGCTGGTGATTCTCTTCATGTTTGGTCGCCTCACGTTCGCCCTTGGCTACAAATACTATCATGCTTATCGGGCATTTGGGCATATGATCACACCTTCCCGACTGTTTATTTTATGTGTATTGTGTATACAGCTTCGCCAGGAATAACTTCGGTTTACAGCAATAGAAGGCATGTTTGATTTTATCCAAAGTGTTCATTGGAATGTTAAAGTTTAGCACTTCAAAGCCGTTTTTTTCTTCTCACCCAGTTTGCTAAGCGTCTACCCAGTATCAAAGGATGGGTTTTATTGTAATTGCTTGGAAATTAAAGACATATAAAAATGAAAACAAGATAAAGGTACTTATAATGCCGATCTCGGCTTTTTGTTCATTATATCAAAGCTTTTTTCTTTCTTTATAAAGACTTATGACCAGGGTGTTCGTTTTCTACGTAACCCCCCAAATGTAGAAAACAAAAACCCCCCTCAAAATCACTTGGGAACGGCTTGAAACTGCTTAAAACAACTTCTAGACACTAGAGGAGTGTAAGAAACAACACGATCTCGATTACCAAAAAATTTGACCAGGGTCTTTGATTCGCTTTCTACATAACTCCTATAGAAAGAGGTTTTTTTATCAAAACAAGGTATTTAATCAATCACTACTTTAAAACTTCATTTGGAATGATCCTGATTGACTTATTCACGTGTTTTGAAGTTTTGATCCTCGACAGAGGATTTACGGTACATAAAGGAAATTACTTGAATTAGTTTGCAAGGAACAAAAAGGAGTCTAGGTAATGTATAAAAAATTAGAATTAACTTTTATCTGTGAGTGCAGGGCATCGATTGAAGTCAGATTGTTCATGTTGTGAAAGCTATCATCATTGTAATCACTGTACACTTAAACTTATTAATCCTCTTTTTTGTCAGTCACGTTTTGATTGCTTAAGTGTCCCCTGAATGGAGATTAAAGCTATGGGTTTCAACCCGGTGGGGGGGGGGGGGGGGGGGGGGG